TATAATAAGCCGAAAAGAGTTAAAAAAAAAAAAATGAATTGACTCACGAGCTCAAGATGAGCCAGCTTGTGGGCTTAACCCACAAGCTCGTGAAATTTTTTTCAAGCTTGGCTCAATTCACCGATCATCTCAATATGAGCCAGAACCAAGCTNNNNTCTCAATATGAGCCAGAACCAAGCTAAGTCAAACCAACGAACGACTCGACCCATTTGCCACTCCTACTTACTACTTTCCCACTTGATAAGGTTTTATGGAATGACTGGTTAATTGTCATGTAGTTCACACTTGACAAGATGCAGTAGGACATATCCTCTTAGACATGCAATTTCCTTATCCCCACCCACAACAACAAAAAGATGCTAATTCCGTCGACCTTTTTCTTATCTGCATAAAAGCCCTCCTTTTTTTTTGTTTTTTGTTTTTGTTTTAGCTTCAAAGAAGAATATGGATAGTTAAAATTAATGTAGTACAAATATGCCATATAAAAGCTTTCTTATCTCCCTCGTCCTCGATTCATAATTTCTTCACTTTAATCCTAATGATGGTTGCATCTATGATTTCAGTTGGTAGGTCTATTTAATTCAATATTCAAGGGAGTCGTGAGACGTGGACTATATGATTTATATCCTTATGTACTTAGTTGCTTGATCTATCCTTCTTCGTGCAATCCTTCCATGAGCTATATATAACTTTAAAAGTAGTCGTTACAATCCATCTTTTGGATTCGACGTGATTTTCCAGTTGGATTACTACATGGCACCCTTTTTCTGTTAGAAGAAATTGTCCCATGTACAAAAGGATCTTCAAAAATCCCTTATTCACTTTAATACTATTTTTATAGACACACCGAATAAAAAATCATCCTTAAAACCAACTTATAAAGAGGTCATTTCGAATATGCTTCGAAACTCGCTAGCATCCATTGGCCGGCAGGCAGCACATAATGAGGTCGAATTCCGATGAGGATGAAGATTAGAAAACAAATTAGGTATATAGCATCGGTTCTTATGTCAATACAATTCATAAATTTCTAGATCTAGTGTCAAAATCAACAAGACGTGGACTAGGAGATGCATGGCTATCCACATTCCAGCATGGGTCGTATAATAATTGCCCAGACAAGGATGGTCACAGTCCTATTTCTTTCAAAAAGTGGCAAGCTTGAATAAAAAGATAATAGATAAAGTATAAATCCTCTACATATAAAAAGAGTGAAGGTTTGTTTTACTGTAGAAACTATTTTCTTATCCTACCTTATCCTATAGACGACGCCGTTTTTCATTTATTTGGTATTTCCCCCCTCTCTCTTCATTTTGCCTTCAGTCCAATCCAGCCCCG